GGCCACTTGTTGGGCCCAGGCAAGATGTAGCAGCATAAGAAAACACAAGACACATGATAAATTCATTTTTCAACAGGATCAGTCTCTTCTGGAGCAGGAACTTTTTTGCAATGTGAAGCGTGTATCCAAGAACTCTTCCCAGCTAGTTTAACTGACGTTGCTGTAATCAGGAGCACTTGGTAAGGACCATCAAATCTCGGTTCTAGGGTGTGCTTTCTGAGAAACTTCTTAACCATAACCCAGTCACCCGGAAGCAGCTTGTGTGTACCTGTATTCGACTCAGGATCTGGAATAGAAGAAAACACTTGGGCATGTATCTTGGTCAAGGCATGTGAGAGGGCTGTCACATAATCTACCATAGCATCTGACTGGATCTGAAGCTGTTGGGGAAAGTAACAACCTAACCTGGGTGCTGTACCAAACAGAATCTCATAAGGTGACAGGCTGTATTTTCCCCTAGGAGTGTACCTCACACTAAACAATGCTAATGGGAGACTCTCGGGTCAGGGCATGTTAGTCTCTTGTGACATTTTAAGCATTCTGGCTTTCAAAGTGCCATTCATGCGCTCTACCTTGCCACTACTCTGTGGGTGATATGGTGTATGGAATGCAAGGGTCACCCCCAGTGCTGACCAGACTTCCTGTGTTAGCGAGGCAGTAAAGGAGGTTCCCTGGTCACTTTCAATCACTTCTGGAACTCCATAGCGGCAAACAATTTCCGTCAGAAGGTACTTGGCTGTAGTTCTTGCGGTGAGGTTGGTCACTGGGAAGGCCTCTGGCCATCCTGAAAACATGTCCACTATAACCAATGCATATTCATAACGTCCGCTTTTTGGCATCTGGATGTGATCAATCTGAATCCTCTGGAAGGGGTATTGTGGCTTAGCTAGGTGGTTAAGTGCAGTCTTTATAACTTTCCCAGGATTGCATTTAGCACATATAGTACAAGATTTACAGTAATTCTGTGTTAAAGTAGTGATGCCTGGTGCTTCAAAATACTTGTCAATCAGCGAGTTCATCAGGAGTTTTGACAGGTGGGCTGGCCCATGGGCCCATTGGACCACCGCTGGATACATGTTCCTGGGTAGGCAGAACTTGAGATTGATAGTGTAAACATCATCACGGAGTACAGCTCCTTTGTTCTTCCAACTTTGTTTCTCCTGTGGGGTAGCAGCTGCTTGTTGTTCCTTCAGGAGCCTGAGGTCAGTAGGCAATGTTTGCATAGTGTAGATAGGTAATGCATCTGTGGCCACTCTTCTGTCCACTTCCCACCCTTGCCGTGCTGCCTCTTTAGCTGCCTGATCAGCCAAGTGATTTCCACGTGCTTCTTCTGTATCCAATTTTCCGTGGGCTTTTACTTTCAATACTGCCACTTCTGCTGGAAGTTCCAATGCATCCATTAGTTCTGCAATAGTTGCCCCATGTTTTACCGGAGTACCAGTAGCTGTAAGAAATCCTCTGGTCTTCCAAATTAAACCAAAGTTGTGTGCCACTCCCAAGGCATATCTTGAGTCCGTATAAATGTTGACACGTAGACCTTCAGACAGTTTGCAAGCCACGGTCAGAGCTGTTAACTCTGCTTCTTGGGCAGACTTGGTTGGTTGTAGAGCAGCTGCTTGTAATACTTGACATCCTGTAGTGACTGCATATCCAGTGTGATACTGTCCTTGTTCATCAGCAAATCTTGAGCCATCCACAAATAATGTTTGATCCGGATTAAGTAATGCAGCTTCATAAACAGTTGGTAGGTGTGTAGTTTCCATTTTCATTTGTTCAAAACAGTCATGGGGGATATCAATGAAGTCACAATCCGCGGTAAGTGGGTCCTCACAGGCCTCTGTGTGGTACCTGGGGTACCCTGTTGTGCAGTAATCAATGGTCTTTTTATTGAGCCCTGCAGAAATTAGCTGTGTTTGAGTCATTTGGTTCCATGTTCTGGCCATCGGGCCTAGGTCTTTCCATGAGGTGTTGAGGGATCTGGTGAGAGATATGTGTGGAATAGCTGTATCCCAGTGGTGATAGAGGTGTGTTACATTTTCTGGGAGGCAAACTAAGACAAGCATTGTACCTGTAGAGTCCCAGAATAAATCAGTCAGAGAAATTTGAATTTCTTTGAGCTGGAATAGTTCTTCTTCATAGTTCATATCAGGGCTTGGTACATCCCTAAACCACAATGTGCAGTGGAGTAGGGCCTCTGGTTGTTCATCATGTGGAGGTGTAAGTACAGGCAACTGTAGGTCTGCTTGAACCTCTGGGTTAATATCCAGGCTGTACCAATGATAAACAATTCCCCCCTTGGGAAGTGGCAGAAGAGTGGCAGGATTCAGGGAAAGACATCTCTGAAGCTTAACATTGTCAGGTAGGAGCAAGGAAGTCTGTAGGCGAAGGTGGCGTTGGGAGGAAAGGTGCTTTGGTTGGGTTTGTTGCAGGATGGCAGTAATGTCATGAGGGGCCAACACTGTTAAGTGGTGGCCGAGAACAAAATCATTGGTCTTGTCCAGGAGAGCGCTGGCGGCAAACACCGCTCGGAGGCAAGAGGGGCTACCTCTCGCAACAGGGTCAAGCATGCAGGAGAAATAGCCAATAGGGCGTTGTCTTGACCCATGTTTCTGAGTGAGAACTCCGGAAGCATGTCCTGACTTTTCAGAGACGAACAGATTGAAAGGAAGTTGGTAGTTGGGGAGGCCCAAGGCAGGTGCTGAGGCAATAGCTCTTTTCAGGTTGTGGAAGCAGGTGATAGTTTCTTCAGTAAGGTGGAAGGGCTCACTCCTGAGGGTATCATAGAGTGGTTGCATAAGTTTTGATGCCTCTGGGATCCAGGACCTGCAGTATGTTATAAGACCCAAAAAAGCATGGAGAGTCTGATGTGTTGCAGGTAGAGGGAGTTGCAGAATGGCTTGCACACGTTGAGAAGTCAGATGTTTGGTGCCATGGGAAAGGCAGTGTCCCAAGAAGACCACGGATGGCCGGCACCATTGTAGTTTCGATTTTGAAGCTTTGCAACCTGCTGCAGCGAGGAAACACAGGAGGTCTTCTGAGTCACGCTCTGCAGTGAGCAAATCAGGAGCACAGAGAAGTAGATCATCAACATATTGAAGTAGAACAACATCCAGATGAGATCTCTGCCAGGGATCCAGAACAAGAGACATGGCATGAGCAAACTGTGTGGGAGAGTTCTGAGCACCCTGTGGCATAACAGTCCATGTATATTGTTGCCCTTCATGCGTGAAAGCAAAAAGAAAACGTCAGGAAGGGTCAAGGGGAACACTGAAAAAGGCATTGGCTAAATCCACCACAGTGAATATAGTAGAAGTTGGTGGGACTTGGGACAAGAGGGTATGTGGATTTGGAACAATAGCAGTGTCCTTTATAGTGACTTCATTGACAGCACGAAGGTCCTGCACCATGCGGTACTGGTCAGGCTGACCCTTAACAGTTCGCTTTTTAACCGGAAAAAGAGGTGTGTTGCAAGGAGATGTGCATTTGATGAGGGCACCTTTGGCAAGTAGGCTGTCAACTTGCTTGGTGATGGCTTCAGCTTGTGCTGGCTTCAGAGGATACTGTGGTCTACGGGGGGGTAGTGCCCCAGGCAGGAGCTGAACCAGGACTGGGGGTACGTGTAAGCGGCCAATATCATCCGGGCCGGTAGACCAAAGTTCTTGGGGGACCCGATCCAGAGCACTGGGGGTGTGTGTGACCCGTGCATTCCCTGTGTTGTCAGTTATGTTCAGCAGGATAGGGAGGGAGCACAGGGCAGAGGTATCCTTTTGTGATAGGGGGGTTGTCAACTCGACTTGGCCATCTGCAGTGAAGGTAATGGAAGCCTGAAGCCGAGAGAGAACATCGGCACCTAGGAGGTTAATGGGACAGGTAGAGGAAACAACAAACCGGGAGAGGATGTGTGATCCTACGTGTAAGAGTTTAGTAAGGGGGTTACTGCGAGGTGTACCATCTACCCCAACACAGGAGACATCAGTGTCAGATAAAAAGGAAAGGTCTGGCAGGTCTTGTTCCCTAAGAACACTACGGGCTGCACCTGTGTCAACTAGAAAGGTGGTTGGGTGGCCCTCCACGGGGAGAACTACAGTAGCTAAAGGCCCTCCCCCATCCCCCGCAGACACTGCCATGGCAGGGGTTGCTGACACAGGCTTGCCGGTCACCTATTGCAATAAATCTAAATGGGCCTGGTCTGGTCCCTGGTATCGGCGGGAAGTGGAAGGGGGGTTAGCAGAATGCATGGGTGGGCGAGATGGACGGACAGCATGGCGGGGCTGTGGCAGACTATCTTGGAAATCATCGTTGTCATACCCTTCACCAGAGGGCGAAGAGTAAGCACGAGCATCTGATGTGGACGGCCGGGAGTGGGTGTACTCAGGAGGCGGAGGGGGTGGAGGAGGGGGAAGTTGGGGCAGCTGTGGAAGGGGTAGGGCAGAGAGATAACCAGTGGAAGGGAAGTTATAGCTGGTGGCATGGGGACCAGGGTACCGGGAAGTCTGCTGACGGAACACCCTAGGCTGTGGGCAATCTCTTCTAAAGTGTCCGGGTTGGTTACAATTAAAACAGGTCCTGATTGTTGTGATTGTTCGGTCTCTGGGAAAAGGAAGTGGTGCAGGCTGTGTCTGGGATGGTTGGTGGTACTGTTGGAGGGGTAACTGAGGTGCTTGGTTAGAACCTGTGATAGGAGTGGAGGTAGTGTACATCAAAGGATTTGTTCTACGTGGTGTGGGTTGTAAAACTGTTTCCAAACCCTTGGCAACCAACAAGAGAGTGTCCAGTGGAATAATTCTATACTCAGGGCGAGCTAGGATTAACCCCTTACGAATATGTTCCTTGAGGCCTGCCACAAACGCTGCAGATAGCATCTGAGTGTGTGCTTTGTTATAGGAGCTGAACCCCAAATCTGAAAAAGTCTGAGTCAACCTAGAGTGGTACTTTTCAACGGTCTCAAGTTTATCCTGAAGAATGTCATTTATGCAAGTAGCCTGATCAGCTAGTTTATCCTGAGCCCAGGCTCGAAGCTGTTCACAGAAAACTTCACCAGAGTGAAAATCAGTATCAGAAGTAAGAGGAGCATCGCTAAAGCTCCGTTCCATGATTGGCCAGTATGCATCACCAGCCTTTATTTCACATAAACTTATGAGATCCGCCAAGCAGCGGAGTATGTTTTGCGGATCTGAGCCATCCGGCGGAAAAAGGGCATGGGGTGCTTCTCAGGATCAGGGAGTGAAGTCACAAGGGTAGCAGCTTGGGAAGGGTTAAAGGTTACATACATGGGTGGTGCACCATCCGCGCCATGGTTAATCTGGGTATACCCCTGGGGGATGGAGCGCCGTTGTGGTGGTCTGCTCCCCCCTAAGTGAGGTGAGCCCTGGTCCACAACAACGACCTCCTCGGGCACCACCGGGCCGCGGTGCGGGGTAGTCTCAGGGGTAGCTGTAATAGGGAGGCCAGCAGCGGGAGAGGTAGTTGGGTGGAAGCCCGAGGCCTGGGGGGAGGCACCCATCGCATAGGGCTGGTCCGATGTCACTGACACCTCGGACCCAACCACCATGATTGGGTAACTGGGACTGGCGGGAGGGGCATGAGGGACCAATGCCGTGGAGGGGGCTGTCATGGGGGCCGGATGGGGTGGGCGTGAGAGGTGGGTGTTCAGGACGTGAGCAAGGGCAGTGATTGGATCGGAAGGCTCGGGGACATTAGCGGAAGACGAGGGAGGGGTCGGGGGTTCAGGGGGAGGAGGAGGAGGCAAATCAGTGGGAGGTGGAGTAGGAATCGCTGAATTAACCAGGGAAGTAACAGCAGAGAAGAGGGCGGAGATTGAACCAGGCAGGTCATTGGTCACAGACGGGTCGGGAGCCACCGAGGGAGGAGGGGACAATGGGGTAGAGGGGGCCGGGACTTCGGGAGGAGGTAACACTGGAGAAGGGGCGGTAACGAGGGGTTGGGTCAGGGCTGTGAGGGCAGAGAGTAAGGACGGCAAATCAGCCGAGGGAGGAGGGGACAATGGGGTAGAGGGGGCCGGGACTTCGGGAGGAGGTAACACTGGAGAAGGGGCGGTAACGAGGGGTTGGGTCAGGGCAGTGAGGGCAGAGAGTAAGGACGGCAAATCAGCCGAGGGAGGAGGGGACAATGGGGTAGAGGGGGCCGGGACTTCGGGAGGAGGTAACACTGGAGAAGGGGCGGTAACGGGGGGGTTGGGTCAGGGCACGCACTGTGTGGTTAGCGGGAGGGTTCTGGAGGGTAGAAGGGGCGTCTGAATGTAAGGGAGCAGGGGCTAGGGAGCTGGGGTTAACGGGCTGGGCAAGCACCTTCGAGAGGCTAGCGAGGAGGGAGGGGAGGTCTGGGTCTGGAGGTACGGGAGAAGGAGGGTCCGGGGGCAGACAGGGGTCCGGATCAGCGGAATGGGCAAGGGTCGAGGGACCGGACAAGGAGGGTGAGGGAACGGGTATCACTGAGGGTAGGATACTCGATGGGGAAAGGGTGGATGAGGAGAGGAGGAGGAGGAGGAGGAGGAAGCTTCGATAGGCAAAACGGGAATAGGTGGGGTAGAGTCTTGACGAGGAGCTGGAGTAAGCACAGGCACAGGGGGAGACAACAAGGGAGATGGGGGGTTTTCTACAGGCATGACGGAGGAGGAGGAGGCGGGGCTGCAGGAGGGCTGATGCATGGGAGTGGGTGGGAACGAGTGGAGTGGCATCGGGAAATAGTAAGCACCATCCGCGCCGAGCACGGGGCAAAGGGGAGTGGGAGCTGAAGGAACACCTCCGGGGGGTGTGGTCTGCGCTGTGACGGGGGAAGCAGGGCGGGAGGTTGAGGCTGCACTCTGGGCGCCATCATAGGGCGGTGGTCGTGGGATAATAGAAACAACATCATCATTGTTAGCATTCCTATGGTAAACATATACAATCTGTCCCTCAAACTCCAACTCTTCCTCGACCCATCCCTCTCGTTTCAACCCTCTAGCTACCCGAAACCAAGCCTCTGCAACCTTAGTGAGTCCGTTATCCAACAACAAACCTTCCTTGTCTGTGAGCAACTTTCTCCAAAACTCAGGCTGTAACCTTCCACTAGGCAACATTTGGAAGCCACACACCTTGGCAATCTTTTTAAGTTTCAACATTGCATCCTCTCCTGCCCTTTCTTTTACAATATCACAAGCCAACAAGCCCTTAGCAGGTCTAGCATGTTCCTGCCCCATCTTATATAAACAAAGCGTGTCACGTGGTGAAGACAGAAGAATAGAGAAGGTACTGAGGGGAAAGGAAAAAGAATGTCTACAGTGCTCGACTGCCACGAGAGCTTGAGCTCTGTGCGTCTTCCCCAAACGTAGACTAGTCACAGGGATCCGCCCACCCGGGGTGGTGGTCACGGACGGGAGCGAATGAGCGTGGGTGACTAACACAGCTCTGGGCAACAGGCGCAGGAAAGATAAAGAACAAAGGAGAATATGAACGTGGCTGCGCTAATGAGAAGACATTTGCAAAAATCACAAACATATAAATGGGCATAAACTCCGGAATCCAGAACCAACCACACAACACACACACACACACACCGAGGGTACCCACACTGTAACAACAATTAAACAAAAACCACAGGATGATAGAAAGTAAAATGGCCATGTACATGTTAACACCACTGGTACCAATACCCACCGTGTAACAATCCCCAGCTCTGTTATAACACAAGCACTAATGAAATCATACAAGAATTGTACAAAATCCCAGCCCCACCAGCTGTAATGCGTTCCCTGCCCGCTAGGCAGTCAAGCTAACATAAAATCCCAGCCCCACCGGCTGTAATGCGTTCCCTGCCCGCTAGGCAGTCAAGCTAACATAAAATCCCAGCCCCACCGGCTGTAATGCGTTCCCTGCCCGCTAGGCAGTCAAGCTAACATAAAATCCCAGCCCCACCGGCTGTAATGCGTTCCCTGCCCGCTAGGCAGTCAAGCTAACATAAAATCCCAGCCCCACCGGCTGTAATGCGTTCCCTGCCCGCTAGGCAGTCAAGCTAACATAAAATATAGAAAAAGGAGCACACATACACATATTACTAATACAGGAGGCAGATAGACAATCGACAGGTTCGCTTAAAAAGGCACACCGGATGAGTTAGTTACCTGTCTCTAGTAGCCTTCTGGAAGCCGGAAGTGGACCCGGAGGCAGACCGACACAAAACAGGAAAATAACACAGGCAACGGCTGTATTATGGAGGTGATCAGGCTCCGCTTGTCCCACTTTCCGGAGGTCCGCTCCGGTCCGCTGGTTCCGGCCCTCCGAACCGGCGCTCCGGTGGCCCCACGTTGGGCGCCAATTGAAGTGGAAAAATCAATTAAAGTATTGATTATTTCTTTGTGTATCTGCCCCTGGCCAAATCAATTAAACAATGCGTGCACGCTCCCTGAAGTAATTCACACCAGACACAGGTTCCAGGTTGTTGAATAACTTGAGGAATGTTTATTCAGAGGGGACGGCAAGTCCCTTTTAAAGCAAAATTACATCATATGCATTGTCAGAGATAACATGGAATAATACATCAATAATTGGTTAGGTGTTAAGTGGTTGCTCTAATGCTCTGCCTACTGTAGGTGATGTCACCGGGGCCATGAGGGTCTCCCACGGTTTCCCGGCGCCATCTTGATGCACGAGGTAGTTAGTCGACGTTAGGAGGGGAGGGGAGGGGGAAGGAGGGATTAGAAGCTTCTAGCAGCCATCTTGATTATAATATGTGTGTTTAGCTTTAGACGATATATATATCATGAAATGGTTAAATAGACATTTTCTCTATCTAGGAAATATGTGCAGACCTTATTTCCACAACAGTCGTCCTATGTGCAGATACTCCAGTCTCTGCTGTGGAACTCTGAAGCTCCTCCAGAATTACCTTAGGTCTCTGTGCTGCTTCTCTGATTAATGCCCTCCTTGCCCAGTCCGTGAGTTTTGGTGGGCGGCTGTCTCTTGGCAGGTTTGCTTTTGTGCCATGTTCTTTCCATTTGGTTATGATAGATTTGATGGTGCTCATTTTGTGGGGCTCATCAAAGATTTGGATACTTTTTTTTTATTATCTTACCCTAACTTGTACTTTTTAACAACATTGTCCCTTACTTGTTTCGAGAGTTCCTTGGTCTTCATGGCAGTGTTTGGTTAGTGGTGCCTCTTGCTTAGCTGTTGCAGCCTCTGGGGCCTTTCAAAAAAGGTGTGTATATGTAATGACAGATCCCGGGACACTTAGATTGCACACAGGTGGACATCATTTCACTAATTATGTGACTTCTGAAGGTAATTGGTTCCACCAGAGCTTTTTATGGGCTTCACAACAAAGGGGGTGAATACATACGCACATGCCAATTTTCTGTTTTCTATTTCTAAAAAATAGTTTTATGTATATATTTTTTCTCATTTCACTTCACCAACTTAGACTATTGTGTTCTGGTCCATCACATAAAATTCAGATTAATAAAACATTGAACTTAAAGCTGTAATGTAACAAAATGGGTAAAAAGTCAAGGGGGGTGAATACTTTTGCAAGGCACTGTATCTTGTCTTTTTCTCTCATCCCTTCTGGAATTGCAACAGGATTTATTCTGGTTGTTTTTTTATATTTATTTGGTTTTAGGCTCTGAATGGGGGCCTTTGTTTTCCAGTTGAGGTTTGTTTAGGAAGAATACTTTTCTTTCCCATTACCCTTCCTACGAAAAGATTATAGATAGTTGAATATAGTGTATTATATATTTCCATTATCTTATTTCATTTTTATTGAGAAGAAAATATCTTAAAGGCAGAGGGCAGTAAGAGAGAGTATGATATCAATAAGAATACCATCCCCACTGTGAAGCATGGTGGTTGCTCACTGATGTTTTTGGGTGTGTGAGCTCTAAAGGCAAGCGGAATCTTGTGAAAATTGATGGCAAGATGAATGCAGCATGTTATCAGAAAATCCTGGCAGACAATTTGCATTCCTCTGCACGAAGGCTGCGCATGGGACATACTTGGACTTTCCAGCATGTCAGTGACCCTAAGCACAAAGCCAAATTGACCCTCCAGTGGTTACAGCAGAAAAAGGTGAAGATTCTGGAGTGGACATCATAGTCTCCGGATCTTAATATCATCAGGCCACTCTGGGGAGATCTCAATCTTGTGGTTCATGCAAGACGACCAAAGACTTTGCATGACCTGGAGGCATTTGTCCAAGATGAATGGGGAGCCATACCACCTGCAAGAATAAGGGGCCTCATAGACAACTATTACAAAGGACTGAACTTGATGGACGCAAGTCTCTTTTCAGCTATAGACTGCATGCTGTCAGACTTTTGAACAGGGGTCATTTCATTTCTTTCTTGACATGTTTTGTTTTATGATTGTGCCATTCTGTT